ATATATATATATATATATATATATATATATATATACAGAGTAATCTGTCAAAATTTTCTTCAAAAGGAAATCAACAACTGGAGCTTACTAGCTGTGTATCGAGACCTTGACACGGCACACCTCCACCTTGTGGAACTGGCTTATTACACAAACGAATTCTTCGGCGATGTCCACGTCCACAAATTGAATCACAAACCGAAAATTCACCCCACTCACCCCAACCACCAGCAATACGAGGACAGATACGCTGCAATGGGCAATCCCGTCGTTCCATACCATCTTCGGCACGAGCTATGTCTGCGCAGGTGTCCTTCAGATTTTCCACTTTTGTAGCTGAACTGTATGCGCCGTTGCAGGATCGATAACGCTGGCGTTCTGACACGCCGCAGGTTGCTGTGCAAGCAGACCAGGCTGTCCATGATCCCCAGTATGGTCTGCATTTATCTCTATTCAGTGCATCCACGCAATCCATTGTTTGCTAAACATGAACAATATGGTAGAACATATGTCAATCATTGGAAGGAAGTTACACCGTTTAGGGCCTTTAGAAACAGTAATACAATCTTGAACAAAACTGATTTTAAATTATTTTGTATATAAGATTGTTTTTAATTCTATAAGCTTGGCTCTTGCCAATGTCTAACACAGTTATCTTAATGTTCAGAGGATACCGTTAAACAAACCATGACGCATTCCTTTGTAGAGATATGACACAAGTTAGGCAGCTCTAAAATACGTTAGTCCAGTATTGGACATTTATACATGAAGACAAATCAGTTTCGTATAATTAATATTGGAGATCCAACCTAGTAAAATTGATGATGTTGTATCGAAAACTGCCAGACGGGCTGTCTGGACTGATTTGCAATTGTTTATTTATTAGAATGACGGCCGACTTCGTAATAAGCCAAAGAAATTGGTTTTCCGAGACAAAACATAGTTTCAGCATGTTTGACTTGCTGGTACTTAATGTAATGAAATTAATTTTGCATAAGCAGACAGATATTTTGCAAAGAGATCATCGTTAGGTGACTATCTATTATCATCGTCATCATAAAATTGGCCCTAATGTAGTAGGTAAACAATTTGATGGAAAATGGTAAGTTAGAAAAGCAAGCTAGTCCCAAAACTGAACAATTATTGTTGATAACATCGTGGTGGCTTTATTCCCTACCTATGTACTCAGTCATCTTACCACATTTGTCAAATCGTTTAACTGTGTTAAAAGCCTGTTTGTAATTGGACAAATGTTAGGCCGCACACACCGCTGCAAATATCAAAGGTGAACTTCAGCAACTCATGAATAGTTCAAAAAAGGAATTTGAAAATGTTTTTTTTCTCTGGTATAAGAGAAACCACGAGTATGAAAGTCTGACATACACAATCATACTTATACGTAACAGGGGGGATTTTTCGAAGAAATGGCGCTAATTCCAAACATTATAGAACGTGTGTTCAATTTTACTCAAATAACTCGTAAGTCTTATTGACAATAAAATCGTACAATATATGTTTCGATTAAGACGTATTCATCAATATTGCTAAACGAAGTATTTCTAAAATTATTAGGATATCATGTATGGCATGATATTTTGTTTGATACTGTCGAATTCGTCAATAGCTCATAAACTGAAGGACAATCTTTATCGAAATTTCTCGTTTTAATTTAAATGAGCCCATAATTGGTCACCTTGACGCTCAAATGGATGGATGACTAGAAGTATAATGGAAAGACGAATAAGAATGCTCTTAGCCATTTAAGCAACTGGAAATTTCCCTAAAGATACTTTAAAATGAATTGAAGGCAGAAATTTAATGTTAGTGATAGCTAAAGTCGTCATAATTCCATCCATTTAAATTTATTAGCATTTACATAATTTGACCCATGGTGACAAAAAAATATTTATTTTAAGAATTGTTAAAATTTAGCCATTCACAATGTTGGAAGAGGTATACAGACTCAAAACAAAAAGCCTTTTATATTTAAAGTATTGTGGAAAATGCTTTATTGCTGTAATACCTCGCGATTAAATTTTAATGGCAATGTAAATATCTATTTGAGAAAAAATACGCGCTGTTTTGGCAATGATAAAATTAAAAGCCAGAGAGATCTCGCAAAATTTATAAACGCCGTGGCATTAAAATAACCAAGAAGCATAGTTTTCCGTAAATGTTTCGTCTTTTAAACTTCTTGACATTGACCTTTCAAAGGGTAAAACCTGTTATCTTTTATTTGACTGTAAAATGCGCCTAAAATGAAATTCAATTGATAAGCTCAATTGCAACCAAAATGCTAATAATTCAAAGGCGAGGATTCAATAAAGAGCGGTGGGGAATTTTGCGCTGAATCGAAACAAATTTCAGTATGAGTATACCAAATGTTTGTAGCGTCAAGTGCTAGGATTCTGTTGTTGCGATTTAAATTCCCCATTGGTATCGTTCGGTTAGAGTTGACTCAGAAAGGAAAAATATTCTATATCTTGGATAAATCTCTGATTATGTAAACACCGGATCGATAGAGTCTTTATCAAGACCATCTTTCTAGACTCACATCATAGCAGGTGGGCGATCACCTGAGATAGCAGAATTGTTTGCTGAGAAACAAAGTGTGATCGCTGTGACTTACGCTAATGCTTATCGATGTCTCATCAAAACATCAGAGCATTTTGCCCCTAAACAAAACTATCATTCAATTAGAACTGCTTAAATTTGTGTGATAGTTATAATCAATAACCAGACATAAGAAAGGAAAGAATTTCATCTACAGAAACAGTAACAATCAATATTTAACAAGTTTTTCCTTTTTTCAAGAACATTTCACCTTAATTAGAGGGTAAATTAGTTTAGCCCTCAATATTATTCATGTTAATATAACGATATTTTTGTGAAATAATTTTTCCTTTAGTTCAACCAGAAATAGTAGTAAGAAAACAACCAGAATAATAAATGAAGCATGAACAAAATTACAAGGCCACCTCTAAGTTAACTGGAAATTTTAAAACTGGAATGCTGGAATAAATCACATATTGCACACAACTACTTGGCCTGGACCATATAAACACAATCACTACAATTCTGAAAAATGGATACTTTGACATAACTGCAAGCCTTAGGGAACAAGAGTCATTCAGGCATGTAAGATCATGGAATAGGAATTTCGTGACCTGTTCATTGTATGCGCTGTTTGGAATTACCTTGAGGGATCTCTACTACGTTTAGATTGGCTTTGTAAGTCATCTCTTCTAATGCGTTGCTGGAAGAAGATGTAAAGAAGATAAAGAGACTTGCCCAGCCATATATTAAATTGGTCTGACTCATAACTCCAAAAATTACGAAATTTGAACTTAATCATGAAAACCAGTATTACATTATGAAGATTGCATTTAAGATAACTTATTTGTTGAATTGCCAGTTGTTCCCATTATAAGATGCTTTACAATAAAATTACCCCGATATTTAAATTGAATATTCGCTTAATATTATAACTCCATAATGTGCCACAATTGGGCCAAATTCTATCCCACTCTATACTATTTCACAATTTCTCTTCTTTAGAAACTCTGTCGACCTTAGATTATGAAATATTTTCCTTTGACACATGATCACAAGTATGTAGATAGAATTTTGAAATTTTGTAAGACTTCTGTGATATAGAGATTCAAATATTTATAGATGGGCAACTTTCTAATTAGGCTGGAAAAGATATTAACTGTCATCTCATTTTCACTATGACTAACGTAATTGCGCATAGGTTATTTGTTTAACAAATGTTAATAAATTCAAATTTTACAGGATAAATCTTTTTTCTCTTATTTTCATTTTTTGCATGTAAATTGCAAATTATTTCTTAATTCTGAGTAAAATTACAATAAAAAAAGCTAAAATGATTGAAGTTTACACAAATTTCAAATGAATTTGAAAAATTGAGATTTTCACATTAATAAAAGGTAATATAATAATGGAGTTTTTTGCAATTATTAGTCTCATTTTAAGTTAACATGAAGATACTTTTGTTTTGATATAAATTTAAATCGGTCAAAGTGCATCCTGACAATTTCAAACTATAGTTAACTGGTTTTATAGCTAACAGGGGAAAAAAATAACTCAAACCATTACCATGAAACCATCAAGATAAGTGCACTGGCTGCCTTCTACGCAATCGCCTTCTGGGCATTTGTACCGAACGGCTCGATCATCTGAACACGAGTCAAAGCTTCCCGGACATCTCCAGGGTCCCCAAGAAGATTTCGCTATGCAATAATCCACTAATTCATCGGCGTTGATTTGCAGTAGACAATAGTAAACTGTTACAAGCACTGCACTGAATATTAATCGCCTCATGATTAATTACCCAAAACATGCGGCTGATTTGTCGACCAGGGTAAAATAATCGATGAAAATACTATTAGGCTTTTTAATCTGCACAGTCTGGCTTAATGCGAGGAAATTACAGCTATTAATACTAATTAACAGTTTGACAGAGTTAACATCAAATGAGTGTAAACACCGAAATTAAGCATATAAAATTATTAAAAAATTATCAAATAATTTAACATCCATTAAAATCGCTTGTTTTTTTGTAATTTTTTTCTTTCTTTCATAAGGTCCAATTCTATAGAAAATTAAAATTAAAATGATGTCAATCAGTTTTCAATGATCTTATAATTTAAGTGCATTTATTAAGTCATTCAATTAATACATTGCTTTTTGGCACATAAAACTTGTAAATTATTTATATTTAAAGCACAAAATGAATGTCAAATCCACTTGGGGAACATTATTTACATTTGATAAGTTAAAAGGGATTGCCCCGGTTAACATTTTCTGCAAGATAGACCTTGAAATGGCTATAATCTTAGGTAAAGCTACTTACATTATCTGACTTTATTAGATTAAAGGTAGCCCTTTAAAGAAATCAATTACTGCAAAAGGATATATACTCAGAGAAAAGAGAGTAAGAGAATGGGAAATTGCGAATTGGAGAGAACGAAGTGTGGGATGGGAGGAGGGGGAGAGAAAGACATTCTAGGGATATCCAACAGTACAAAGAATAAAAAGGGCTATTATCTCCCATATATTGGCAATTGTATTAAATAAAAATTAACTATATATTTATGTGTATCAAGAAATATTAAACCTATTATTTATGTATACGCTTAAATGTTCTAAATTCAAGTTCGATATGGCCTTGAATAAGGCCTATTTGTTGTTTAATACACTTCTGCTATATAATTTTGACATTATATGGCATTTAGAGAAGCTGCCAAACGTAATTATTAATTGTGAGCTGTTGGAACTTATAAAAATAATCTGAAGAATTGTCAAAAAATCTGAAAATTTAAAAAGATAATAAAAAGATAATTAATAAAGCAAAGATGAAATAAGAAGGTAATGATATAAGCAGTAATGAGTAAACCCTTTAAATAACATGTTTTACGATAACTCAGAATAACAGCAATCGAACTGGTTTACGATGGAAGACAATGAGAAATGAAAAGAATTGGTGATTCAGACCTGACCGGCATTCTGGCCTCCGACAGTACTAATGTGTGATACTAACTTATATCAAGACAAGAACTTTTATAATAAAATTACAGATATGCAAAAATTGACATGCAATTACCACTAAGTATTTCAACTTGGGGCACACATTTTAACCTCTTTTTGTGAGAAGGCAAAGGTACAGCGGCCAATATCCATTTCGAGTAAATTTTTTCCCAGAAGTGTAAAGCGAAACTCAATAGGAGACTGAGTTTCAAATGTCTCACTTTATGTGTTTTTTAGGCAATTCATGCTCCGCATTCCAATTATTTGCGATTCATCAACTGAAGTGTTTTTTGGTTGAATTCTTATCCTGTTGCTTACTTTTGAAGGTCAGTCTTACCGCTTCAATTCAATTTGTAAGTAATCATCAACCATAGATAGACTTACCTCCACGTGGTGCCCCCTGGCCAACGTATACTCATACGGCAAAAAAGTCTATTAATCGGCAGTTGACTTCTGACTTCAAACTGCCATGACCCCACTGTATGTCATATTCGACCACTTCCACAGTACTATACATTTTTTTCTAAATTTTCAACCTTCGTCTTCGAAACACTCTTCTGTTCCCCCCCCCCCCACTCTCGACTTTTTCAGATTGATGTTCCTTCCCCTCTGTGAAGCCTGAAGTCAATTAAAGGGCTAATGATAACCGCCAAGACGCCTGCCATTTGATATAAATAAATAAATACCATTCAGAAGTATGCCAGGTTCCAAATCTAATTTGAAGGGATT